TGCTCTGCTTCCGCCCACCCCCCGGGGCTGGCTGGGAGCTCACCTCGATCTCCGTCAGGAAGTGGATGGCCTCCGGGAGCGTTACCAGGCGGTTCTTGTTGAGCACAAGCTTCCGTAGCTTGGGGCACCTGCAGGTGCAGAGCCGGGAGGTGGATGGGGTGGCTGTGGGCACCCCCTTGCCCTGCCCCTGCTACGGATGCTCTGGGGGACCCCGCAATCACCCCCCGCCACAGGCCAGCACCTGCAGAGACTTTCCGGAATCAGTTCCAGGTTGTTGTTGGTGGCCATGAACTCCTCCAGGCTGCTCAGCTTGCCGATGCCGGAGGGCAGCCCGTCGAAGTCCAGCTTGTTGGAGTTCAAGTACAGCTTCTTGAGCTTGGTCAGCTTGCAGATGGCAGACTGCATGGGGCAGTGCGGGGGCGGGTGGTCAGGGCCAGGCCAGGTCTCAGGGGCGAGGGAGCCCCCCGCCTTCCCACAGCGGCCCCGCACGCACAGGCAGGGAAGTGAGCTGGTTGCGGGACAGGTTCAGGGTCTCCAGGTGCACCCACTGGTCGATGCACAGGGACAGCTCCGGGATCTGGTTACTGCTGAGGTTGAGGCGCCGCAGGCTGGGGAGGGTGTACAGGCACTCGGGCACCCTGGTCAGCTCGTTGCACGACAGGTCCACATCTGGCACAGCGGGCAACGGGGTGTGACCACAGTGACCCGTTTCCGACATCCGGCCATTCTGGGCCTGAACAGCAGGAGCTGAGATGCCCTGCACCTGCCCGCCCCCCGCCCACCCATCGGGCCTCCCCGACCTGCAAGGTTGCTCAGACTCTCCAGGCTGGTGGGCAGGTTGCTCTGGGTGCGCTGAGTGTCTCGTAGGTGTAGGGTCTGCAGCGCTGTCATGGCCGGGAGCTGCCTGTGGGGGAGGAAGGGACGGGTCAAGGCTGAGGGGGCACCCCGAGTGACCAAGGGGCAGTGCTGTCATGGCCGGGAGCTGCCTGTGGGGGAGGAGGGGACGGGTCAGGGCTGAGGGGGCACCCCGAGTGACCAAGGGGCAGCGCTGTAATGGCGGGAGCTGCCTCGGGGGAGGGTGGTTCAGGGCTGAGGGGGCACCCCGAGTGACCAAGGGGCAGCACTGTCATGGCCGGGAGCTGCCTGTGGGGAGGAGGGGACGGGTCAGGGCTGAGGGGGCACCCCGAGTGACCAAGGGGCAGCGCTGTCATGGCCGGGAGCCACCTTGGGGGAGGGTGGGTCAGGGCTGAGGGGGCACCCCGAGTGACCAAGGGGCAGTGCTGTCATGGCTGGGAGCTGCTTGTGGGGAGGAAGGGGCAGGTCAGGGCTGAGGGGGCACCCCGTGTGCCCTGGGGCAATGCCGTCTTGGCCGGGAGCTGCCTAGGCGGGGGTCAGGGTCTGAGGCCAGGTGCCCACCGGAGCTGGGCATGCATCAGTGGGTTCCCGTTGAGCACGAGTGTCTGCAGGTGCACCAGGCGGCGCATCTGCGGGGGCAGGCTCTCCAGGCGGTTGTGGCTGAGGTCCAGGTACAGCAGGTCCGTGAGGTTGATGAACAGCTGGTTGGGGATGGTGTCGATGCTGTGGGCGGGTGGGCAGGCAGGGCAGTCTGTCAGCGCCTGCACACCCCCACATGCCCGTTCCCCCCCTAACCCCCCCCATGGCAAGCGGGCACCTGTTGTGGCTGAGATTCAGCACCAGCATGTTTTTGGCGTTCTCCAGCTCCCGCGGGCACTCGGTCAGCTGGTTGTAACTCAGGTCCTGGCAAACGGGGACCAGCAGGTCAGGGGCCGTGCCCACCTCCTGCCCATGCCCACAGCTTAGGGTAGGGACGGTGTCAGGGCCACAGAGCCGTGTGGGGGCCTGGGCCGGGGAAGGTCGCTTCCCCACGTGACCTCAGGCCCCAGCTTTGCCCTCTGTAAGTGGGGGCAGACCGTGACGGTGAGTGGGAGCCGACCAGGGCTGGGCAGCCGGGGGGATGACTGACCAGGACGGAGAGGTCCTCCAGCTGGAAAATGTCATCGGGGACTCCAGAATTCTTCAGATTGTTGGCGCGAGCCACAATGGCCTGGTGTGGGGGGGATGTGGGGGGCAGTGAGCCAGCAGTCTATATCTCCTGCCAAGGTCACAGGGCTGCAAGTGGCAGAGCCTGGGGGTGGAAGCCGGGGCATCTGGAGGCCGCCTCCCTGACGGAGGCTCACAGGTTCTGCCCAGTGGGCTGGGGGTGTGGCTGATGTCACAGCCTTGCACTGGACAAAGCGCCCCCCAACCCCGCGGCTACCACTGCCCAGTCCATGGCACCAGCTGGGGTCAGGGCACAAGGCTCTCTGGCACCATTAGGGTCTGTGAGACTGACATGGATGGAGGCAGGCAGAGAAGCTGCCCCAGCCGCGACCCCCGAGGGGACCCATGGCCGCCCTTCCCCCCGGGGGGTGCCATGGTGTCCCTGTGAGCCGGCCGGCACTCACCCGCAGCGAGGGCAGGCTGGACAACTCCCCGTGGAGTGTGGTCAGGTTGTTGTGACTCACAGATAAGTGCTCCTGGACGGGGCACGGAGGAGCAGAGGCTCAGTGGGGGTGGGCGTGGTCCCGGTTCCCCGGCTGCTTGCATACCTCCCAGGACGGGGAGCTCCTTCCCTCCTCTGGGTGAGCCTGGTTCTCCCTGGGCCCCTCCGGCCCTTCCTCACCAGCTTCTGCAAAGCAGCCAGCTCCTCGGGCAGGTAGCAGAGGCCGGTGCGGTTCAGCTTGAGCCATCGCAGGCTGGTCATGGCCTTGACGTTCTCAGGGAAGTACCCGCCCTGGGCGGTGGGAGAGGGTGTGGTGAGGCTGCTGTGAGACACGCAGGCTCCCCTCGACTGCCCTGGGTGGCTCCCAGTCCCTGGGCGGGTGGCAAGCACAGCCTGGCGCCCCAGGAGGGTTTACATCAAACGGGCTTGCTTCGCGGAGGGGGGATCTCCTGGCACCCCCCGGGGTACCCCTGCCCCATCCTGCCAGCGGCACCCAGACAGGCTCCTCTCCCACCTTCCTCGGCACCCCAGAGCCCTGGTGGCGGCCTAGTCCCCAGTGCCCTTGGCCACATTCCCAGCTGCTGACTCAGATGCTCCAGGCACTCCAGGCCGGACACAGCTAAACACGGAGACCCCACGTGCGGACGGGTCAGACCCTCCGCTCCCCACTGCGCCCTCTGCTGCGGCGCACAGCCCAGCGGACCCAGGAGGGGCCCCTCGCCCTGCTGAGGACCCGGCCATCGCCCGGCCAGGCCTGGGTGAGCGCCCTTCCGGCCGTCTACACCACGGCCCGTCTCCGGGAGTGCGTGAGGGTGTGGGGGAAGCGACGGCCCCAGAGGCCGGGCTGGGGCGTGGAGTCCCGGCGCGCCACGCCCGGCCTGCAGGCCCTGCGCCCCCGCGCGGACGCTGGGCGGAGGCCCCGGTTCCGGGCCGGCCGGGGAGGCCCCGGAAAAGGCGATGCCGGCGCGGCTGCCGCCGGACGGGGGTCCCCCCCGCGCACCCCAGGGCCCGCGCACCTTGAAGTCATTGCCGCTGAGGTCCACGCCGCGCACGAACGGCAGCACCCCGGTGGCCTCCATGGCTGCGCCGCCGTCGCTCGCCCGGGGGAGGCCCGTGCGCCGGGGCGGGCTGGGCCAGCGCCGGCTCCGCCCCCTGCGCCCGCCCCTGCGCGCCCTGCCCGCGCCGGGCACCCCGACTTGTGCGGGACCCGGGAGGGCGCAGCGGCGGGGCAGGGGGCGTCCGGGCCCCACTGACCGGGACAGGCAGCCGAGGCCCGGTGGAGGCCCGCACCCCCGAGGGGACGCGAGGCCCGGGTGGGGCAGCCAGGCCCGGGTGGAGACGCGCATCCACAGGGGGACCCGCACCCCCGGGGGGCCAGCAGGTGCAAGGAGGCCGCCCCGCCACTTCGGGGTCCCCCCATGCTACCTGCCTGCGCGCCCACTACAAGGAACATGCGCTCAGGCAGCTTCCCGCACCCCACAGGCCTCCCATGACAGACGCACACGCGTCATCTCCCGGTCCCGCAGCGGGGGAGCCGCGGGTCGCCCTGGGACCCCCAGGCTCCGGGGACGCGGGGGATCCCCAGGCTCCGGGGACCCCCAGGTTCCGGGGACCCCCGGGCTCCGGGGACACGGATGAGCCCCGGGACCGCCAGGCTCCGGGACGCAGGTTGCCCCGGGACCGCCAGGCTCCGGGGACCCCCAGGCTCCGGGGACCCCCCAGGTTCCGGGGACCCCCAGGCTCCGGGGACGCGGATGAGCCCCGGGACCCCCAGCTTGTCGAGGGGATGGTGTGTGGGGGAGGGGCGTCACGAGCGCTACGCCTTTAAATCCGGAACGCAGGGCGAGTCCCGCCCCCGAGGCAGCGACGGGGCGTGGTCGCTCCGTCATTGGCTGAGCCTCCGAAGCCGAGCGCTCCCATTGGCGCTGGGGTCTGCCCGTCTGCGCTCGGGGGCGGGGCCTCGGCTCTCGGGCCCTCGGCGCTCCGTCGCCCGGAGGGGTCCCGGTTCTACGAGCCAGGTAGGGCCGGGGCCCGGCGGGCCCCCCGAGGTGTGGCGCACTTCCGGGGCGCTGGCCGCGCAGCGGGGAGGGGCGGGGCCTGCGAGGATCGCGCGTGGCCCGAGTTCGAGGCCCGGCTCTGCCCTTTCGCGTCCCCGGGCCTGGCCCGCGCCTGGGGGCCTGCAGGGTTGGGGTGAACCCTGTGCGCACCTTGAGCCCAGACAGCTCAGGTGTGTGTGCGCGCGCTGGGGGGCGGGGCGTGTTTACAATGCTTCACCAACGTGGCGAAGTGGGGTGCTGGCAGTGCCCGTCGGGGAGCAGGAGCTGGGGTGCCCCCGCCCCAGCCCAGGGCTGGCCCATGACCTCGCAGGCGCCGAGCCCCGGCTATTTTTGGTCTGGGGCAGAGGGACAGGTGTCCGGCTGGAGTCCCGAGCTGCCCAGGCAGCTGGCGTGTGTGTGCTTGGCAGCACCTGGGGAAGAACTGGGCGCCCTTGGCCTCGGCTCGGGGTCCCACCCCGGTACCGCGACCTCCCCCCGGGCCAGCCCTCCCCGGCCTGCCTGCACGGCCCCTCGTAGTTGTCACTTGAGGGCGGCCCCCTGTACCCCAACCTCGTGCCAAGCCTGCATTTCCTGCTGCCCCATCTTGCTGGACCTGTCCTGAAGCTTGGCCTTGGATTTGGGGGTTACCCTGTTAATATTTGGGGGTGACTCCTTGGGACCACAAGTTGTCGTGGCTCGCCATGTGGCAGTGGCACCTGAGTCGGGTGGCTTTGCTGTCCCCCCATGCCGACAGACCACCTGCTGGGGCTTGGGTGACATGTCTGCGAGGCAGAGGGGGGGATGGGACACTTGAGGTCGGTCCCCTTGGGGCTGCGTTATGCACAGATTTTGGGAGGACCTTAGCTGCTCCCATCTCCTTGCCCTATCTCACAGATTCTCCAGAAGCCCCTCCCTGTGGCTTTGACTCCCAGTTGCCCCACTGCACAGCCCCCACGCACCCCCTCCCCGGCTGCCCCCCATTCCTGGTTCTCTTCCAGGCCAGCCACCATGGCGTTCTCGCAGACGCGGGGCAAGCGGCGTGGTGACGAGGGCCTGGAAGGTGCCGTGGACTTCCTCCTGGCCAATGCCCGCCTGGTGCTGGGGGTGGGTGCTGCTGCCGTGCTGGGCATCGCCACGCTGGCTGTGAAGCGGGTAAGGTTGGGTAAAGCCGGGTGGGTTGGGGGATGGTGGCCTGGGGGCGCCCTGGCCCGGTGCTGGGCTCACTGACACTCTGTCTGCAGCTCATTGACAGGGCCGCCGGACCCCGAGATGAGGATGATGCTAAGGGGGACAGCTGGAAGGAGCTGAATCTGCTCAAGGCCGTGCCTTCCCAGCCCCAGCCACCGCCCGCTGCCCGCAGCCTGCCCGAGACTCGCCCCACCTCCTGCCCGTCTGCCCCAGGTGAGTGGGCGCCCCCCTGGGGACATCCCGGTGCGGGAAGTGGAGGGTGCGAGGGCGAGCTCCTGTGATTTCTGCCACCCTCTGCAGAGGGACCGTCGGATCCTGGTCCTCGCACGCCCAGCCCCCCGGCCCGGCTGTGCCTGACCCTGCAGGAGCGACTGCTGGCCTTCGAGCGGACCCATGTGGCCATCCCGGAGGCCCAGGTGGCCCTGGCCAAGCAGCTGGCTGGTGACATCGCCCTGGAACTGCAGGCCTACCTGAGGAACAAATTTCCAGAACTGCCCTTCGGGGCCCTGGTGCCTGGCGGGCCACTGTATGACGGGCTGCAGGCGGGGGCGGCTGAGCGCGTGCGTCTCTCATTACCTCTGGCGCTGGAGCCGGGTCTCTGGAACCTGGTGCCTGGTGCCGACACGGTGGCCCGGGACCCCCGCTGCTGGGCCGTGCGCAGGACTGGGCTGGAGTTCAGCCCCCGGGGCAGCAGCCCCTGGGACCGCTTCCTCGTGGGGGGCTACCTGTCCTCCCGGCCGCTGCTGCAGCTGCTGCACAAGGCGCTGACGGCCTCCGTCAACTGGCCGGCCATTGGCAGTGTCCTGGGCTGTGCCATCCGGCCCTGCGTGGCCTCGGAGGAGCTGCTGCTAGAGCTGCAGCATGAGTACCTGGAGCTCACCGTGGCCGTGCTCCCGTCCGTCACTGACGCCGACTGCCTCCTCCTGGCCTGGCCCCTTGAAGGCCTGGCAAGCAACCTCTGGCTGCAGGACTTGTATCCACTGGAAGCGGCCAAGCTGCGGGCCCTGGACGGCCGTGATGCCGGTTCTCGGCGGCGGCTGCTGCTGCTGCTCTGTGCTGTGTGCCGTGGCCACCCAGTGCTGTCTCGCCTGGGCCTGGGCCCCCTGACACAGGTGGTGCTGCGGGTCGGAGAGGAGGCCGTGGACTGGGCCGAGGAGGCCCTGGGGGAGCGCTTCTTGCAGGCCCTGGAGCTGCTGCTGTGTGGGCTGGAGCAGGCCAGCCTGCCCTGTCACTTCAGCCCTGCCGTGGACATGCTGGGTGGCTTGCGGGAACAGGACATCGACGACCTGGGCTATGCACTGTACAGGGGCCTGCAGGCACCTGAGACGCTGCTCTAGCCTCTTGGACGGGTCGGGGGTGTGCGGTGGGCTTGGTTTTTGCTTGCTTTTTAGCCGTAAGAGGGAGGCCCGGGCTGTGGCTCACGGTGTGTTTACCAAGCACGGCTCGGCAGGGCACCTGCCATGATCACCAGCAGCGAGTGTAGGGACAGTGGGGCCGGGCGGAGGCCAGTGGACTCTTCCTGTGCCTGAGCAGAGGACTCCATGTCCCCGGCCACCTGGCTCCTGTGAGCCGACTCCATCCGTGCTGTACCTCAGCCAGGCAGGGAGCTTGGTGGGGTCCCCTCGTCTACCACCCAGGGCCATGCCAGGCTGGCTCATCCACACTGGGCCCAGCCGAGCTCTGGGTTGGGACTCTGAAGCTGGCCGGGGTGGCACGGGCTCATTCCGCGTCTGGCAGCCTTCCTGCTGAGCAAAGCTTTGCCTTGAAGAATGTGAATGAAAGAAAAAAAATAATCACATGGGACTTGCTCTGCGTGTACTTTTTAAAATTTTTAGTGGAAAAGCAGATTTACGGAGAGGACAAACAGAAATATCTTGCATCTGTTGGTTCACTCCCCAACTTAACAGCTGGAACTGAGCCCTCTGGGTCTCCCACCCACCTGCAGGATCCCAAGGCCTTGGGGTGCCCTTGACTGCTTTCCCAGGCCACAGGCAGGGAGCTGGATGGGACGTGAGGCAGCTAGAAGTCAAATTGGCACCCGCATGGGGTATGGCGCTGCAAGGGGAGGCTTCTGATGGCCGTGTCCCGCCCCACTGGGCTGCTGGGTACTGCAGCCTGACCAGTGTGCTGAGAGGGCTCCTGTATGGGCACCCACTCAGCTACTGGGATCCCCTCTCAGGGGCCCCCTTCCTGCCACCGTCAGCACCGGAAGGTGGGGGATACACTTCCTTGGACAGGAAGCACGGACACCTGGCTCCTAGCAGGTGTGTTATGTGCAAGGGCAGATGACGTATGGAGGTTTGCAGGGGTGTGTGTGGTGGGGGTCTGGCCATCCTCATGGCCCCACAGTGGGAATAGGGTACAGAGCCTGCCCCCCCCAGTTCAGGGCTCACTTTGGTTAATGCCGCTGAGGCGAGGATGTGGGTCCCGTGAGCAGGTTCTGTGGGCCACTCACCTGCCCTTCACAAAGTTTCCTGAGGGGCTCTAGGGTGATGGGGGGCCGGTGCAGGATGATGGCTGGACAGGTGCCAAGGTCAGGTCCTGCCACTTGGTTCAGCCCAGCCTCCAGCAGCTGCTCCCCACCCCGTCGGGACTACCGGAGGCTGCAGGGGCCTGGCCAGAGGCCGCACGGCTGGCCATTTTCATGTCCCTTAGGTCCATCTGCAGGGAGCAGGAGGGGAAGTGGAGTAGTTGGAACTTGAACCTGTGCTCCTGTGGGATTGCCACTTTCCCTGCTACTCATGCCACAGTGCCAGCCTCTGCCAGCATGACCACAGTGCTGGCCTGACCGGGCCTTCTCTGGGCACCCACCTGCCTCAAGTAGCTCAGAATTTCTTCACACCACAGCCTCAATGGGGAAGGAGAAACCGTAGAGGACCTCCCATGGTCCTAGGCCCTGCCAGCTGCTGCTCTGCCCTCATCCTGCTAACATAGATGCCCCTGGCATCTGCCTGGTGAGCCCAGTGCCTCAACGTGTTAACAGAGCCAGGCCCCGGTGGGGAGGTCAGCTCTGAGGACTGCACCCACTCCTCCCCTGCCTGGGATGCAATGAGAACATAGAAGCAGCTCACCCCGGGGCGGGGGGGCCTGACACTGCTGGCAACACCTGTGGCCCAGGTCCCAGGCCCTCCTTGTACCTGGCTTGCCAGCCTCCTGCTGACGGGCACTCTTGGGAGGTGGCCGAGTTCCCTCCCCAGTCCTGGCTCCAGCAGGTGCAGGCGCTTTGGGAGTGCCTCGCATATGGACACTGCTGTCACCAGCAGAGAATGGGGCCATGGCACTGCCCCCTGAGCCCAGCCCAGCCTTCCTGGGGCCTCAGCCAGCCTAGAGTTCACAGCCTGTAGGCCCCATACCTCTGAGGCTGGTCTCTAAAGCGAGGGGCCTTGAGCCGGCGCCCACCCCAGCATGTAAGCCAGGTGGCCCCCAGGGCAGCTCAGTGGGCACCCTGGGAGTCAGGTCCCCAGTGGCCCTCTTGCAGTGCTAGTCCAGCAAGCCTGGTTCCTGGCCGGGGCTCTTCAGGAAGTTAGTGCTGCAGCCACCAGCAACCCCACTGCCAGGGGCATTATGATGGGTTTAAGGGTTCATGGCTGGGCACACCCGGTGTCTACCTGAGGAGTGGACAAATGGCAGATGGCGCAGCTTGAGCCCCGGGGCTGACGTTGTGGTTATTGTCCCCGAGGGAGAGTCCCATCATGGAGTGGGCGGCAGGGCCCACCTCGGTGGGCTCAGCATGGGCGTGTGTGTGCCTGTCGCAGGGTCTAAGACCACCCCACGGCATCAAGACCAGCTGGCACAGGAGATGGGGACGCAGAGGAGGAGAGCCCGAGGCGAGTGTCAGCCCACATCATCAGTGTGGGGCTGGATTCTTTATTAAGGCACATGAACCAGGGCAGCTCCCAGCTGCTGCAGAGGCGAGGTCAAGGCGGGAGCCAGCTTGGCATACCCCTGCTACCCGCAGGGCTGCGGTGGGAAACCTCCTCGTTCCATCCTCCACGTCCTCCTCCGCAGTGGCTGGCCTTGAACATCCGAGCCACATGCAGGCAGCGGGTCCAGCTGGAAGAGCTGGCTTCCAGTGGGCCATGGGACCTGGCACCCCTTACCTTGGGGGCCAACACTGTGCTCAGTGGGCTGTGTGGGGCAGGTGCCTGCTGCCCGCCCCGTGTTGCTCATCGGTTCTGCGGGCAGAAAGGCCGCGTGTGTCCAGGCTGGTGGCAGAGGCTGCACTTCCGGGGCTTCTTCACCGTGGGCCCTGGTGTGGCATCTGAGGAGTTGGCCCGAGGCCTTTTGCTTCTGGCTTCAGGCCCCTGGGCTCGGCCTCCTGCTCCCGACCAGGGCAGGGCTCCAAACATCCCTGTGGGAAAGCCAGGGGTGGGGCTAGGGGTGAGAACTGAGCAGAGGCGCTGAGAACTGCCCATGTCCCAGTTTCCTGGTCACACCCAGCCCCTGGTAGAGCTGCCGGTGTCCTCACCCAGCCGGCACCTAGTAACTTCTTTCCTGAACTCTGAGCCCACTGTCCTGCTGTGACCAGGGACCCACTGTGGTGAAGCAGGTTCCCGTTCTGCGCCCCTGGGTGAGGTCACAGCCACTCTGGGGTTACACTGGTGAGCCTGCAGGCTTGAGGCACATAAGGGGCAGGGAGGTGCACGCCTTTGTTCCAGTTCTGGCCGTTTCCCAGGGTGACACCAGGCAAGGTCACTTCCTTGGCCTGGGCCCCTAAACCCGTGACCAGAGCAGCTGCTTGGTGTGGTCAAGGACACATGGCCCGCCCGGGAGCACAGCTATGCAGGGCAGGGGAGTGGCACCTGACAGTTCACTTCCAGGCACCCCTCCCTCCTGCAGCTGCTGCCTCACCTGGGGGCAACGGGGCCGAGTTCTCGTCTGCCCACTGGAAGAAGCCACATTGCTGCTCGCGCGGCTTGGCGCATGTGTGGAACTGGCGCCCCTTGTTGGGTCCGTCTTTCTGCACGGTGCGTGTGACGGCAGGCTGGCTGCACAGGCAGGACGTGACGCCACCAGTGCCACCAAGGCCACTCGACCCACCCGGGGGGCCGCTTAAGCCTGGCCGGTGAGGCAGCGAGCCCCCTGGGGCTCTTGGGGCGGCAGGGGGGCTGCTGTCGGCCCACAGGAAGAAGCTGCAGCCACCGCTGGCGCACTTGTAGAACTGGCGGCCCTGGTTGGGGCCCTCCTTGCGCACCGTCAGCAGCACAGCCTCCTGGCCACAGTTGCAGGTCACAGAATTGCTCTCTCCAGCACCGCTGGCAGCGGCGGGCAGCAGGGGCGTTCGGGTCAGAGCCTTGGAAGGTCCAGTGGGCCTGCTGTCGGGGGGCTGGGGTCGGCCGTGCTGCCTACTGTCCATCCTGTTGAGGGCCTGGCTGGCCTGCAGGTGGCCGGAGGGCTGGGCCGCTCGGGGGGCGCCGTGGGAGACGCGCAGGTCCAAGATCTCCCGCAGGGTCTCATCGCAGCCGCCGACGCAGCCAACCATCTCGAGGGGCATGGTTGGGGGGAGGCTCCCGCGCTTGAACTTTAACCTCAACCTGGTCAGGATGCCAGAAAAGGTCACCATGAGCACCCCTCCCCGGTGTGTAGTGCAGGGGGCATTCCCTGCCTGTGAAGTCAGACGGTGGCTGAGCACCCAGATGCCCTGGAGGGGTACAGTTCTCCAATGCCAGGGGTGCTGAGTGGTCCCTGGGCCTGCTGGGGCATCGGAACTCCCCCCTCCCCACAGGCATGCTGCGGGGATGTGTCTACCAGCAATGCCACCCTGCCACCCGTCAGCCTGGCCAAGCTGCAGACCAGTACCACTCCTTCGCTACCCTTCGCTTTGGAAAACGGTTTTGTTTCTGTTGAGTCGGTAGGGTTACCTCCGGCTGCCCCACAGGCACTCGCTGCGAGGAACTATTCTAAAAGCCGTCCCCGCTGCAGAGGGAGGGTGCTCCTGCAGGGTGCGGGTGGGGAGCCTGGCCCCCACTGGACTTCCCACAGTGCCCAGCTCACCTGTACACAGGCTGCGGTTGACATACGGGACACACGCTCTCGTCCCTGCTGGCTTCCAGCACCGAGTCGGGAAACCAGATGGCCGATCGGCATTCGGGGAAGCCCACACAGCTGAGGTAGAACCTGAGGAGGAGGGGGGCAGGGGGTGACCAGGGTCAGAGTGCAGAGGTGGCGGAACCTGCTCGGGCTGCCTGAGGCTGCGGGCCACCTGTCAAGGACCCCCCCCCCCATCCACCAGCTCTACAGTGCCCGGGGTGGAACAGACCTGCTTCTGCTTAAAAGCAGCCAGGGGGCTGGTGCTGTGGCATCGTGAGTTAAGCCTCAGCCTGCAGCGTGGCATCCATACGGATGCTGATTGGAGCTGACTGGAGTTCCCAGCTGCTCCACTGATGATCCAGCTCCCTATTTGCCTGGCAAAGGGGCACAGGATAACCAGGTGCTTGGGACCCTGCACCCACGTGGGAGACCCAGAAGCTCCAGGTTCCTGGCTTCGGATGGGATCAGCTCCGTTCTGGCTGTGATGACCGTTGGGGAGTGAACCAGTAGATGGAAGATTTTCTGTCTCCTCCTCTTAACTCTTTCACTACATTGTTCAAGTAAATTTAAAAAACAAACCAAAGCAAAGACGGCCCTGTCATGTCCTCCGCTCTGTCACACATTCTCATGGCCCTTCCTGCTGACATCCCAGGGAGGTGCCTGAGCGACCCTGCCGTGTGGGGGTCGGCCGAGGCTGCATGACCTGGAAACCTACATGAGGGGCCAGGACAGAGGCCTGCCTGTCTTGGCCAACTTGAGGGTC